GGTTGTGGAGCAGGGAGCCCAGCCCTGGGGAGGGGGCTGGAGGCAGGAGAGGGGCCGGGGCTAGGGAGCGCCCCCCTCGCTGTGGGACTCCTCTGTCCGGGCCGCTCGGGCCCAGCAGGTCCCCACGCAGGCTCCACGCGTGGTTTCGGGGTGACACTGCTCACCTGGGCCGCTGCTGCCCAGGAGAGAGGAGACGGCAGGTGTCAGGCAGGATCGGAGCGGCTGAGCATCCCCGTGATGTGCTGCTGGCATTGGTGATGCAGGGATCCACGTCCCTGAGGTGCTGTGCGGGGAAACGGGGGGGGAACCCCACAGCTAGCGGGTGTGGAGCCTGGGGCCACATGGAGTCCAGGGGAGACGGGCTGCGCGGGTGCAACGCTAACGGAGACTGTGCCTGCCCTTGCTGACAGATCTATGCGGACCCTGCCAAAAGGCTGGAGCTGTATTTCCGCCCCAAGGACCCCTACTGCCATCCTGTGTGTGCCAATCGCTTCCCCACCTCCACCATGCTGCTCAAGGTGAAGAGGAGGACCAAGAAGAAAAAGCAGATGGACAGTGAAGAACAAATCCAGTCAGAAGTCCAGTTTGAAATGGAAATACTTGGGACTGTCACCACTGTTTACAAATTTCAAGGTAATACTTGGATTTGTGTCCACGTGACTTAAAGACGAGCATGTCTGATGGGAAAGGCAAGTGTTTTCCTCTTAAGAATTTAGGACTGGAAGGACAATCAAGTCTCCTGTTGTTACAGCCTCCTTGCTGTATAAACCTTTGCATAAACTTATCAGACTGCTGCTCCTGAAAGTTGACTGTTGTGACAAATACTGATATATTCACAATAAACTTCACAGTGTTTTCTTTCTCATAGGAATGTCGGATTTCCAGTACCTGGCAATGCACTCTGGTCCTGACGGCAAACAAACCTCCATGTATGACAAAGTCTTAATGCTCAAACCAGAGAAGGAAGAATTTTTCAATAGAGAATTACCGCTCTACATCCCGCCACCAATTTTCTCACGTCTGGACACTCCTGTTGACTATTTTTATCGGCCAGATATACAACACCGGTTAGTGTCTTTTCTTATAATGTAGTAAATAGCTGTGTTGGTTCTTGAACAGAGAGGTAGTGAAACATTTCACTGGTTTGATATATATTTTTAATGGTCAAGTCCTGAAGTTAAGATTTCCTTTTTCATCACTTAAAGATGACACCAATCCACTGTAACTTCAGTGTTAGTATTGGATCTCTGCCCTTGAGGCATCAGAGCAGCAATAAATACATCATTCAAGTATTTTACCTGTTTAAGCTGCTGCCCTGTTCTGTTTTATCCCTCCTGGTTTGGTACCTTGTCTGCTGGAGGACTTGCCGGGTGCAGGGACCTGGTGAAGATGAGTGCCTCCCCAAGCACGCTACACGCAGTGTGGGATGCAGAGCGCCTGGCGTCCTGCCTGCTTCCAGGGGACTGGAGCCGACGGGAGATTGTGCAGGAGTCGTGGCCATACATGCCTGTGACCGCACTCACTGGACCTGTTCGCTCCTGGCCCCGGGCTGCTTTTGCCAGAAGAACAATCTGTGAGATCTCCCACAGGAAACATCTTTCATTTTCTCACTGCAGTCCTTCATCAGCATTTTTTTTAAAAAGGAAGATCTTCTTCTTGACTGAATTAATAACTACATTTCCATCTTGCCTTGTCCCTGTACCCTACTGAGTTGCAGTAATTACAGTGGAGGAAATGCAGAGGGTGAAGCCTTTTGTGCTGCAAATACATTTCATGCAGATTAGTAGCCAACTGCCTGAGGGTTTTCTGTCAGATAGTGCAGGGGAACTCTGTCATTGGGCAACTGGATGTAGTTTTGCAGTTTGGTTTTTATTTTAATTTAAATTTTCTTTTCTTGCTGGTGTCACTAGAGTCTTTTATGGTACCAGTATGTGATTACAAAATCCTTTGCGGGGGGCGGGGCAAAGATAAACCAACGCATTGCTTACACGGCTCAGTCCCTTCTCTTCCAAAATCTGGAGCACAAACCTCCATTTCCACATGTTCCCTTGAAGGCCCCAAGTCTGTGTGTGGCAGAGGCAGAAAGCAAACCCAATCCTTTCCCTCCTCTTAGGGAGGGATACAACAATCCCCAGGTGTCTGGTGAGAACCTGATTGGCCTCAGCAGGGCCCGTCGCCCGCACAACGCTATCTTTGTGAACTTTGATGACGAAGAAATCCCAACGAAACCACTGGATGCTGCCGTGCAGACCTGGAAGAAAGTGTGCACCAATCCTGTGGATAAAAAGGTGGAGGAAGAGCTGAGGAAGGTACGTGCCTTATTCCTGAGCTGAGCACTGTACTGCAGCGTGCTGTATAGGAAAAAAACTGCACACAGCCAGTTTCTTTAACTTCCCCCCAAATTCTCGGTGATTGTAACTGACTGATACAGCCAGTACTAGCAGACGCCACTGACACTGCTGTGTTTGGTTCACCTGTGCAAGTCAAGATTTGAATCTGGTTTTGCAGCCACTCACGTTAAGTTCCTTATTGTGCTGCTAGCCCTTACGTTGCCATTCTGATAGCTCATACTAAAGGTCCCTGTGCAGAAGAAAATCCATTTGGAAAATTGAGCTGCCATTAGTAACCCACTTTCTTCCTACTGTTTCCTTGGTTGTTTCTGTATTGTTTTAGCTCTTTGAAGT